GAGGCACGCTTGCTGTCTACCGAGAGTAAACTATGCCCGAACACTTGGAATTTTTCTCGCTGGAAAACATTTTCAAATTTTTGTTTTGATCTACGTTGACAAGGAATGCCTGTTTGGGTAATAAGGTCCCCTTGCAAATTTATGAGAAATGTTAATCCTTGTGCATTAATGGGCTGTTCTAGTTCTGCCTTTTTAGTAGGGAACTTCTTCAAATTTCTTGCAAAGCTTCTATCATCCTTCTAAACCAAGAACATATGTTGTGTACTACTGTTCATTCAGTTTGATACTCCTCAATTTGATTTTTTATTTGAGAAATCCGGAAAATCTACTTCTCACCTCTTAATTTTTAACTTTCTTCCCCTTCATATCCTTAATTAAGGAACATAAGTAAAATAGTCCTTTGTACCAATAACTAACAAGCTGTTTACTTGTCCATTCATCAACTTTTCACGAAGCTATTTCGATAGTGCTTCTTTCAGTTTGCAAACTTTTGCAGACTTTGCTCTTTGTCTTTATCACTTTTATTATCTTTCATCTGAGTATTGTGAAGGAGCCATCCTATGCTTTGCTTAAAACTTTTTCATTCTCGTTTTAGATATGGTAGATGTGAAGACAAAACCATTTTCCGATGAAAAACGATGGATTGTAATTTACCCGACATATCTCGACAGTAAAAAGACAACACTACAAGGACGGAAGATCCCTAAAAACCTCGTATGCCTCTCATTTTTGCGATATTGCAAGGTTACGCTTTAATTGACTATAAAGAATAATTCAGGCAGTCGAGAATCCAAAATCTGCTGAAATTTTCGATGTCTTGGCGGCCACTGGACTGAACCCAGTGCTTGATGTGAGTTTGTTTCTGATTAACTATAGATGCAATTTTGAAGTTTTAAGCGAGGAAAGCTGCATCCTCGCGAACAAGATCGAGAACCGGAAAATCGAGGTCGAGTTCGAGTGCAGTTGAAAAACGATGACGGGACCCCGAAAAACAAAGACTATCCAACCCGTAAGTGGTCTGCTTTTTCTGTTATTCCTTTTGCGTAAGTGTACGAAATGTTTTAGGA